CTCTCCCTTCCTCTCTGTAAAAAATCAATAAAATATATTAAAAAAAAAAGATTAACATCACCAATAATAAGCATCTGCACCAAAAGCCCCTGATCCGACGCACTTGGAAGGGTATATCACCTGTGTGGTAGCCTTCCCAATAACACACAAGCTCAACTGAGAATGAGAAAATATCAGACAAATCCAAATAGAGAAATATTCTATAAAATACAGTTGACCCTTGAACAAGACAGTGGTTAGGGGCAGTGACCTCCCACACAGTCGAAACTTCTGACTCCCCCCAAAACTTTATTCATCCCTGGGTATCTGTGGGAGATTGGTTCCAGCAGTCACCAAAACCCATGGATGCTCAAGTCTCTTATATAAAATGTTGGAGAACAATGCACACAGTCAGCATACTGTTTTTGATCCTTGCTTGGCTGAATAAGCAGGTGTAAAACCCAGAGACACAGAGGGCCAACTATATACTTATTGGGGAAAAAACATGCATGTAAGTGGACCTGTGAAGTTCAAACCCATGTTTTTCAAGGGTCAACTATAATTGGTTGTCTTCAACAATGTCAAGGTCATGAAAAACAAGAAGAGACTGAGGAACTGTCACAGACGGAAGGAGACATGACAACTAATTGCATTGTGGCATCCTGGTCTGGATCCTGGAACAGAAAGAAGTGTGTTAGTGAAATTAACTGGAGAAATCTGAATAAATTCTGTAGTTTAGTTAACAGTATTATAAACGACTAATTTCTTTGTTCTGTTCACTATTCTGTGGTTATGTAAGATGTTAACAAAAGGAGAAGCTAGGAAATAGGCATACAGGAACTCAAGTTTCTTGCATGTCTCTTGTAAATCTAAAGTGATCTAAAAACGTTTTCAAAAGTCACAATCTTTAGGTCTTTAATCATGAGGTTTTAAAATGATGGGTTTGGTTCAAGTATGGTAAATTGGAAAAAGTACTAGACTAGCAATTCCTTCCATTCTTGCCAATGTTGTTGAACCTTGAGAGAACCACACAACTTCCCTGAACCTATTTCCCTGCCAAAATGGTCTGACGCACAACTTATCTACCTCAAAGGTTACTTCAGGGTTCAATGACACAGTTGGTCCAAGCTGTGCAGAAATGATATGCTTGTGCAAAATGCAAGTGTTAGCACTGTATCTTTAGGCCTAAAAGAAAACAGTATTAAGGAGACATTTTCTAGGAATGAAAAGATAAAAATATTAAATACTGAGCAAGGTGATGGTGGCAGCAAAGACTAAGACAAATTATGTTCTTCAGCAAAAGAGGGCACCCTTTTTTTTAAAGGTGGGGACTCTGTAATGGTACAGAGTGGACCAACGGATTAGAAATTGGTTCCTTATATCGATTGTGGGTGATGACAGCCATACCTGGAATATGGGAGAGATCTCATTTGCACCAGATCTTTTGCAGACCAGAACAAGACCAACCAATGGGGAGAGGGGAAAAGAACTGGCATCTTCCCTCATTGCTATCTAAACTTTAGCACAGCCAAAGCAGGCATACCACATCAAAGAGGGAAAGCATGAGGGTGCCTGGCACCACTGGGGACTTGGATGCAGACTTAGTATGTAACACGGCTAGAAACAAGGGAAGGAATCACGTTTTCCAAAGATCCCACTACTAAAAGCTAACAGGTACTTCATCTTCGAAGAAATTTTTTGGTCTGTAGTTTATGATTCTAGAATGATGGGATAGCAGCTGCCTATTCATCATCCTGTATCCACAAAACTAAGCACAAATAACTAATTAAATGTTCAATCTTTTTTTGACTTAAAAATCATGCTTTCTTAAACTTAAGCATTGTCCTATCGTCTCTATATTGAGAAAAAGTGATACTCCCATATCTAATGACAGAACAGAAGTCAGCAAACTCTCTCTTAAAGTGGTGAGAGTAAATATTTTAGACTCTGGGAGTCAGGTTTTGTTAGCAGCCACTCAACTCTGTCTTTGCAGGGGAAAGCAGCTATTGACAATCTGTAGATGAATGGATGTGGCCATGGTCCAATAAACTTTTTTTAAAAAATATATTTTATTGATTTTTTACAGAGAGGAAGGGAGAGAGAGAGAGAGTTAGAAACATCGATGAGAGAGAAACATCGATCAGCTGCCTCCTGCACACTCCCCACTGGGGAAGTGCCTGCAACCCAGGTACATGCCCTTGACCGGAATCGAACCTGGGACCTTTCAGTCCGCAGGCCGATGCTCTATCCACTGAGCCAAACCGGTTTCGGCGGTCCAATAAACTTTTACAAAAACAGACAGTGGTAGGGACTTGGCCCAAAGATAGTTGTTTGTCTCCCCCTTGAAAGAATGCTAGGTAGAAACTTGCTAATTGAATCCCAGACATTTTCCTCAATGGATTGTGTGAATGTGTATATATATTCTGCATATTTCTTGCTATTTCATAATTCACAAACATTAGTTGAGGTGAGATGGAACCCAACAAAACAGGCATGATTTTCTTCATCATAGGAGAATGCTTTTGAGTACAGTAAGCTTTTATTTAACATCATCAGTAGGTTCTGCAACATTAAGCAAAACAACATTAAAACGAAACAAATTTGCCCTAACTGGTTTGGCTCAGTGGATGGAGCATCAGCCTGTGGACTCGGGGGTCCCAGGTGTGATTCCGGTCAAGGGCATGTACTTGGTTGTGGGCACATCCCCAGAAGGGGGTGTGCAGAAGGCGGCTGATCAATGTTTCTCTCATCGATGTTTCTGGCTCTCTATCCCTCTCCCTTCCTCTCTGTAAACAAAACAAAACAAAACCAATAAAATATATTTTAAAAAAAATGAAACAAATTTTACCACAGGCTAACCATATACTCAGAAGTTGAGTTCCTATGTTAGTTCCTATGCCATCGAACAAAATGATGTCATCTGAGGCCCTGCTAGACTGAGCTCATCTTTTAGTTCAGGGGTGGGGAACCTTGTTTCTACCAATGGCCATTTGAATATTTACAGCATCATTCGTGAGCCATACAAAATTATCAACTTAAAAATTAGCGTGCTATATTTGGCCAACTCACCCCTAATGCCTTCGCAGGGTCAGACCAAATGATTTCACAGGCCTTATATGGCCTGTGGGCCGGATGTTCCCCATCCCTGCTTTAGGTACTTACAAATTTGTTTTTCTTTTTTGGTGAAACCTGTTGTCAACTTTAATTACAAAAATGGAGATTTTTTTTTACTAGGAGGGTAGTTAATATCATTTCTTTAGAAGCTTAGTTTTTTTGAAGGTATAGATTTTATTGTTAAACATGAAGTCAGAATATGCTATAAATGCGTTGGGTTCCTTGAACACAGAATATACCAATTAAGTTCAAATAATTTCCCCTACAAAATTATTGTGCAAGCATAACAAGTAATACCTTCTAATTTTCCTATAGCCATTTATAACCAAAAATAGTCTTGCTGACATAGTGAACTCAAACTCCACCAATTTAAAAGGGTCTCAACTAATTCTCCATTCATCTAAAATAAGGGCAGCACTCCTGACTGTTTTTATACATAGTAACCTGAGAGGATAAGAAAAGCCAAAAAAAAAAAAAATACTTGAGATCCAAGTATACTGTGATCTAAGTATCACTATGAAATTTGGGGAATTCAATGATTTTAAAAACCTCAAGGTCATGAAAAATAAGAGCAAAATTTAAGAACACTTCCTATATAATAAAAGCCTAATATGCAAATTGTCCCCTCTGGTGGTGATTCGACCAAGAGACCGGGAGTTCAACCACTCGCTATTACGTGTGCTGACCACCAGGGGGGCGGCGCGGAACATGTCAGGCGTCAGTGTCGAGCTGTGACCTCTCGCCAGCTACCTGGGGGGGCGGGGGGGTGATGGGGATAGAGGTGCGGTGAGATGCGGGATGTCTGCCCGAGCTTGCTCTCACTCCCCCTGCTATCCTCCCCCCCAGGATGCCAGGGCTCGCATGCCACCCCCCCACTGCACTCAGGTGCTGGGCGCCCGTGAGGAGGCCGCCCCGCACGTGCGCCACATCTTCCGGGTGAGCTGGGCCGCAGCTGCCAGGACTGCAGGAGCCAGTTGACGCAGGAGCTGGTCTGCAAGGCTGAGAGCATGCTGCCTGCCTAGCTTCCATGTGGTGCCACTGGGCAGCCCAGAGGCCCACGCTGCACCCTGGCCCGTGGCATCCGGCTGTGCTCACTGCATCTCCGTGTGGGGACTTGGGTACTGTGACTCAGGTGGAGGGGAGCGCACGGGAGCCCAGGTGCTGCCCACGGCCCAGAGGTCAGCTGGGACTTGCCCTTCCATGCCAGATGCTCGCACTTTGATCGCCGGCCAGGCCTAGGGACCACACCCGTGCAGGAATTTTGTGTACCGGGCCTCTAGTATGATTACAAACTATGTTCCTATATGTACATATCTATGCTAAAGTTTCATTTATAAATTAGGCAGATTAAGAGATTAACAACAATAAAACAGAATAATTATATTAATACTCTCCAGTAATTCTTCTATTTTTCAGTCCAAACCTATTCCTGAATCTACTTGATGCCACTCATTTCAGGAGACCCCTTGCTTAAGTCTTCCTATGGGCTCAATTCTTGCTGGTGCAACACAAAGCAGGATGGCACCAGATTTTATCACGCTGCAAAACAGCGCACAATTTAAAATGTATGTTTCTATCTGGAATTTTCTATTTAATATTTTTGGATCATAGTTAACTGAAATCATGGAACACAAAACTGTGGATAAGGGGATACTACTGTATATAGATTAATGACCCAAGAAAATCACATGGCTAAATCACTCATGCTAAGAAGCTCTTACAAGTAAATTTCCCCAAGTGAAGAATCTATTCCCAGGCTTCTCTTATTTCTTAAACACATGCAATTTCATATATTTTGAAAAGAAATAGAATTACAAAGGCATATGGAAAAGCACTCAATTCTATATCAAAACTATATAGGTCAAGAAATGGCTAGGCAACAGTGAGAGATTCAAAATGTCAATCACTTATGTTTATGGATTTATTTTAAAACAACAACTCATTTTTCAAATGGTTTGCTCTCAACACTAAAGGTGCAAAATTCTTACATTATATTTTCATCTATTACAATGTAGAGATAAGAAAAAGCTGGATTAAAAATATGATCTCATCAAAATGTAATGACCATGAGCACATTTCTATCTAATAGAAAATGTTAGATCACTGCATGACAAACTACGTAATAATTATACAACAGCATGCCAATTAACATGTTAGTAAACAAGTGCTAAATTTTTACTTTTCCTAAGATGATAGTTCTTAAATATTTTCAATTAACTTTTAAAGAGAAAAGGTAATCATATATATTAAGGACATTATAAATAAGTCTCCTAACTTCCCATGCATTTACTAACAGTCTACAGAGCTCAACAGCCTCTATAATATGCAGGCAATATAAATAGAAAAAATAAAAAAGGGGGCTTCCTGTCCCACTTCTAATAAATTGCAGAGGCATAATATTTTCTCAAGTTCATTTTATTAACAAAAAGAGCCAACTGTTTTGAACAAAAGCAAACCATGAATTATATATAGCAACCGGCAACATATTAGACATGGAAAAGTGAATATTAAGTAAAATATAAGCAGATGAGATGCCTCTCACATGTATATATATTCATGCTTTTTCAATAGTCTCAGTCAACTTTCAGTGTAATTTTCACCAACAGTCTAGCAGCTCAAACACAAATGCAGGAGCACAATGGCAAAAGTTTGGCAACTACTTTGGGCTCATTGCAAGTATGAAAGAAACCTATACCACAGTTTCATGTAAACCTGCAATTTGTATTTCTTTAAATGTCCCTGACACTGAAATCCATGTCCAACTAATGGAAAAAAAAGGAGAACAAGAGGACATTAAATACTTGTACTTTAGAGGCAGAAAAAATGAGATACTTTAAATGATCTTATACGCGTTCATGTAACCAGGAATATAACCAATCCACATTAACTTATTTACTAGTAAAAATACACTTGTAAAAGTCACACAATAGAAAGATTATGAGCCATTGATCAGTGTGCCTGCACTTGAATAAACACATGAAAAGATAAATAAGTTCACTTTAGTTAGTGTAGTGTTACTTCAGTCATTCACATAATAAAGTATCTACGGGACAGAATCTACACATAAGTAGTTTTTCTGTTCACTAATCTACAGGCACTAATGAAACTATACACTGATTAAAACCCAAAAGCCAGTCACTTAAACACAACTGAGCATCTAGCCAAAAACAGGACAGCACCGGTGGCGAGCATCACTGAGCGCATGCACGTCTCTGGGGACATTTTTCAGCAGTTACTTGCCCTTCTGTTGTAGTCGACAAACTGCTCTTTAAGAATATACTACTTGCCCTTCTCCAGGTGAACCAGTCCGCTGAGCTCCGACATGGTCAAGGCTGCCAAGTCCGCTAGCGCCCCGAAGAAGGGCTCCAGTGTGCAGAACAGCAAGAAGTGCAAGCGCAGCTGCCAGGAGAACTACTCGGTGTACGTGGACAAGGTGCTCAAGGGGAGGCACCCCAACACCGGCATCTCGTCCAAGGCCATGGGCATCATGAACTCCTTCGTCAACGACATGTTCGAGCGCATCGCGGGCGAGGCGCCTGAGGCGTCAGCGCAGGCGCTTGACCATCACAATCCATGATACCCGGTCGGCCGTGCGCCTGGTCCTGCCACAAAAGCTGGCCGAGAAGGCCTTGCAAGAGGGCATGGACACCGTCACCAAGTACAACTCCCAGTGAGGGCCAAGTACAGCAACTCCCAGTGAGGCGCTCAGCCCCTGTCACACCCAAAGGCTCTTTTCAGAGCCATAAAAAAATAAATAAAAAAAAGAATATACTACTTTACTAAATTAATTAAGGACTACATGTTTATTTACTACATCACACAGAATTCTTCCCACTTTTTTTCCGGTGTACTAAAGTCTTCTACTAGAACTGTGCTACTTTCTAAAGTTTCATAATTATCATTTCAGGTAGATATGATGAAAAAAAATTAGACAAAATCTGACAGATGACAATTTGAGCACCAACTACAGCAAATTTCAGGGTCAAGATAGCTTGCAAGTCAGTTCTCTTGGTTTGAAAATTACCTTCCACTGTTGTCTTCAGTATTGAAGCTGAGATCTTCAAGGCCTATTTGTTCCCCATCAGGAAAACTGGAATGCGTATCTAAGATAAAAAAGAAAAGAAAAACAGATTACATTTTCTAATGACCAGTATTTTTTGCATGTCTTTAAATGATCTTACCAAGTAGGTTATTTAAGCAATAAAGACTTGCTGGGTTGTGAACAAAGCTGTCTTTTAGGGAATTTGTGACCTGAGTCAGGTGCAAGCAAACAGAAGGGGAAATAAAGGAGAAAAGAAAGGTGCAATAGATATCCATAGTTAGAAAATTAAAGGCACTGCCTCACTTTGTCCTCTAGGGACACTGTGGGGGCAGCTGAAGGAGGAACAGGAAGTGGTGATGTACACTCTGAAGACTGTATAAACATAAAATGTATTGTAAAACCAATTCAATTGCACATACAAATATCACGACAAACACCTACCAGCATAAAAACTAGCCAAAAGTTGGCTGCTTCTTTTGGAAGGAGAAAAAACTACTAAAAGTGTTTTAATACTTAAAAATCATCAAATGCGTGGCTCTATATTAGACACTAGATAGAACATGAGGGAAATATGTAAAATATAAAGCTGACAATTAGCATAAGCCTGGCAACATTCTCATCCCAGGAATTCTTCTGAATGCTCAGATTGATCATTAAGGTCTCTGGATAAAATTAACAGTGGGTGATAGATGTTAACTAAACTTACTGTGGCAGTCATTTTGCAATACATACATGTGTATATACACAAAACATTATGTTTAATACCTCAAACAAACCAAAAATATTAACAATGGGTTTCTCTCAGTGAGTTTTTTTCCTAAGACATTTTTGGGAGGAAGAGGGAATAATAACTTATGATTCCATTATCTGCATATATTTCTAGAAAAATCAGAAAAAGTTCTAGGCTATAAATATTTCTAAAAAGAAAAAAGTTAAACATCTGAAACCTCCCTAGAGGCTGGCAAACATCTACTACAAATGGGCAGAGCGTAAATACTAGTACGTAGATACCAGAGGCCACAAATGGACTTTGTTTTATAGCTTTACAACAGAAAAGCTATTCTTAAAGGACCACAGGCTATACTGGAGCAGGTTCCCGACCCCTGCTTCACTCAGTAAGTAGCACCAATTAGGTGTCTGACCAGCCAAATATTACCTACTAATTTTCTTCCGTTCTCACCATTTAGTTCACCCCATATATATTAGTATTGCCTCATAAATGACAATAATTAAAACAAAGAGAAGCAGAAGTAGATAGAACAGAAGCAAATCAGCAGCAGCAGCAGAATTGGCTTTATTCATCTCTGTGAAGTGACACCAGGCTCTGCACCTTCATCTGGGGGCTGTGCTGTGAAAGAGTCGTTGAATCCGCCCAGGCTGGTGTGCTCTTCCTGCTCCTCGTTCTCGGTGTCACATTCCACGTCACTGTCGCTACTCATTCCTGCCAGTAAAGAAGGGAAGAACATGTCTCTGACAAGCAGCCACTTCATGTGAAAGGCAGAGGAAATCTTACAACTAAACTGTGATTTCCACTGAATTTTACATTGAATGCCAAGACAATATAAGACACCACACAAAACAAGGAAAACCAACCACACAAACCTCAGTTCTAATTATTAGAGCAGTGGTCTTATTTTTGTCCTCAAAGATTAAATTACCCTTTCCACAGTACCTGAATTTAAAACCAGTATTAATTTCATTATACTGAGAATTTTTTTTCTGAAGTCACACTGTATTTTCTAGAATCATAAGAGATAATAGCAACTCTCAATCCCGACTGGACATACATATAATTGTTTCTAGCCTAAAACATATAAACATGTTATGTAAACAAAATACACATTTATCTGTATATGCATGTTTAAAAAAATTCCAGTAATTCTAGCAATAAATGAGTTACTATCCCATTTGGGCCTCCAATTTTGTATTTGTGTACTTAAGCTGATTTTTAAGAGAAAAAGTCTATAGAAAGTATTTCTATTACAAGAAGATAGTGATCAAGAAAATCTGAAAATATTATCTGCTACACACCCTTATAAATGGTGGAAAAAAAGTATCCTTAAAATATTATTTTAACTAAGAGCCACATTTAAAAGAAAGAAGTGAAAAAGCCACAGCTGCCAAAAGGAGCAAGAGAAGGGAGACCAGTGGGTCCAGCACCATAGTTGTCCAGAGGGTGTAACGTGAAGGTCTTTCACACTCCCTTGTGGATCGGGGGAAAAAAAATCTTTGGACCTACCACAGAAGAGAGTCAATACTGAAACTAAAACTCTGCCTACTGGCATAGAAAGACAGCAGGAAATTTTGTCTGTTTTTGCTAGGCTCAGTTCATATAAGAATTCAAACTAAAGCCTGTGTACTTAAAACAACTTAGGTTTGGGATTTAAAATTAAGGTTCAAAGATCAGGAAATTAACATAATAATTGGCTAGCAGCTAGGGTTATTTGAACAAAGCAAATGCAAAATCCTTTGAAGGGAAGGCTCTAGGTAAAGGGAGTAAGCACATCCCATCCAGTCTTTCCCACTGAATGGAACTATAAATGTGGACAGAATGCATGAAGCCGCTATTTAAGGACTCTGAAAAGTAAATAGAAACAAGCATATTGGTGTAGACCAGAATTTGAAGTACCACCAAACTGGCAGATTTAAACAACACTCTGAGTCTCATAAAATCATTAAAAATGCCCAGGATACAATCCAAAATTACCTCAGCAAATGAAGAACCAGAAAAAGATAATCAACAAACATCAATGCTGAGATGACAGAGATGTTGAAATTATCTAACAAAGAACTTCAAAGTAGATATAAAAATGCTCATGAACACTCTTGAAACTTGTTAAAAACCTCTCTGGAGGAATGCTTCCACAATCCAGGTACAAAATTATCATAGAAATAAGAAAATAAGGAATTCTTGAAGGGTAGGGTTGGAAGTCTCAAAAAGTTATGTTCCAATCAAAATTTACAAAACAAACAATGTGGATTACAACATTACAATTCACCTGAAGAGTCAAGCAGATATACAGACAGAACAATACCATGAATCTTTCACTATCATGAAATAACTTGTAAAAGACTAATGTGGAAAACTAAAGGATACTTTTAAAATTACTAAGTACTTCTAGAAATGAAAGATATAGTCATTTTAAAATTAAAATATTAATAGATGAATTTAGAAAGTTGAAAAACAGGTTGCAAGCTTAAAGGTAGAACTGAGGAAATTACCCATACACCAAAGAAAAATGAGATGAAAATTATAAAACAGAGGTTTAAGAAACAAGGGGATAAAAGGGAATGTTTCAAACATGCTGCCACAGAGATAGCAAAAATAACAAAGGAGAGGGATAATATATTAGGAGAAAGTGGCTGTGAATTTCCCAGGATTAATGAAAAACATTCTGAATAGAATGAAAATTGAAATATAACTACCAATAGCTCTGGAATGTGGCTATAGCAGTGTTTAAAGAGAAAGTTACAGCATTAATGGCTTTTATTAGAAAAGAGAAAAAGGACTCAAATTAATGATCAAAGTACCCACTTTAAGAAACTAGAAAAGGAAACACATAAACCCAAAGGGAGAAAAATAAAGAACAGAAATAAAACTATCAGAAAAATAATAGAAAAAGCTTCTAAAGAAACTTTAAAAATAGCAAACAAAATCCAGTATCAGGAATAGAAGAGGGGACATCACTACAGATCCTACAGACATTAAAAGGACAATAAGCGAATAGAAACAACTGAATGCTCAAGAAATCAAGAACATGGATGGAAAGGACAAATTCTTTGATTCAGACACAAACTACCAAAGTTCATTCAGATAAAAATATAGATAACCTGAATGAGTATTTTAACTACTGAAGAAATACAATTTGCAGTAAAAAGCAAACAACCAAAAACAACAACAAAAAACCACCTTCCAACAAAGAAAACTGTAGCTACATATGACTTCACTGGTGAACTCTTCCCCTTCTGTTTTCTAGAAGAGTTTATGTAGTCCTAGAGGCCCGATGCACAAAAACTGTGCAAGAGTAGGTATTCCTTCACCCTGGCTGCCTACACCAGCTTCCCTCTCGCAGCCCTGGCTCAAAGGCAGGTCTAATTAGCATATTATGCTTTTATTATTATAAGATTATTTCTCCCTTAACTATTTAGAAGACACAGGCAGTGTATGAATATCTCTGAAATCTTGTTTTTAAAGTATGTCTTTATTGATTTATTTTTTAAAATGTTTTTTACTGATTTCAGAGAGTGGAAGAGAGAGAAACATCGATGATGAGAGAGAATCATCGATCAGCTGACACCTGTGTGCTCCTCCATCAGGATGAAGTCTGTAACCCCAGCATGTGCCCCGACCCAGAATCCAAGCGTGACCTCCTGGTTCATAAGGTCAACAACACTTAATCACTGAGCTACACTGGCTGGGCTGAAATCTCTTTAGCAAAGAAAAGGAGAGAAAAAATTACTTCCTGCTCTAGAAAGTGAACAGTGACTGTTTAGAGACCAAACCACCACTTTCATGAAGCAACACCACCACCACCTTGTGGCCTTTCCTGGAACTGCTCTGAAAACAATAAAACCCAGTTCTTGAAATTTAGGCACAAATTTTACCTCTTAGAACTGGTATTTCAGAATTTCTGACAGATAATAACCTTCAGGATGCACCAACTGAAATTCTCTGGATTTCCCAAAAACATAACTTATTCTTTAAATACTTACAACATTACAACATTTTTCAAACTCTTCATTTAAAAAGCTGTTTAATTTGTAGTACTTCTAAGAACTGTAGACTACAGTGAATATTCCTGGATAGTATTCAAATAATGTAACGTTTAGAACTTTTAGCAAGGTTTATAGTACTGCATATAGAATCATGGGTGGAAAGTGCCAATTAAAACAATTATTTTGTTTCCCAAACACCTATTTCTTATAACACTACTCATAAGATTCCTGTATAGTATAAACCCATGAATATTTAGACAGCAGCTGACAGGGCCATGCACACTTATAAAATGACAAAGCTATATTAACCAGAACTGATTTGCTTGTGATCACTTCTTTCCAAGGTGCTCCTATTTATCTTAACCTTTGATTCCAGGTATCAACATTTTCAGCTTCTACTTTCAACTTGCTGTAATTAGATTCCTTCAAACCAGTCATGTTTCTGTATTGATTGTTAAGATGAATTCTAACAGGAGAATTAGAGTAACTTTTCCATTTTTTTATTTGAATCATTTTTCTCAGGATTCAGGAAAACATATGTTTTTCCAAGAAATCCTGCATGAAAAAACTACTACTGGTCTCTTATCAAGTCTTAAGATGTGGAAGTGCCCTAGCTTTGTAATATAACGAAAAAGACAAATTAAAATTAGTCTCTTGACCTCTAGCATTTAATAGATGGACTACTAGGTCAAAAGGTCCTATACAACTTATTACCATCAGTAACTGAGAGAGAGCAAACACTTTTTTTAAAAAAATGTATTTTATTGATTTTTTACAGAGGAAGGGAGAGAGACAGAGAGCCAGAAACATCGATGAGAGAGAGACATCGATCAACTGCCTCCTGCACAGTCCCCACTGGGAATGTGCCCGCAATCCAGGTACATGCCCTTGACCGGAATCGAACCTGGGACCCTTCAGTCCCTAGGCCAACGCTCTATCCACTGAGCCAAACCAGCTACGGCAACACTTTCAAATATTTTCATTTTTTTGAAATGAGACTAGCCTCTATCCAGCAACAGGCCGCAAGCTATCTGCTATGCCTTGCTCCATATACTGCAAAGTCTACCTACCCACTGCATTAAGCAGTAATAATTAAAGCAAACTAGTGATGTTTCATCTACTCTAAGAAATATGAATACTGGACCTTTCTTGATCTCACTAGAAGGCGTCAACAGGTTTTCATGCAACTGGCTGTTACTGATAGTAATAATAAGGTACCATTAATCATAAGATGTTTTAGAGATGTTAGTGTGGAAAAAGTTTAAAATAGTTTCTACATCAAGCGCCTACCACACTTTTTGAGCACCCTTATGCACATTACTGTCCAAAGTCAACTTTCGAGTTTTAACTCCTTATTCACGGGCGCTCAAATTTCTGATGCTTGGAAAATACAGTAACCACTGTTATACCAAAAACTTATGCTTCACCCGTCTTCTTCCTAACAGAACCCCAATATTGTTTCACATTACCATGTAAAATGGGCCACAGAGGGAACCAAATGTTTAAATTTTGCCAAGTTTCCTTTTCTTGCCACAGTGATTGAGATATAAGAGGAAATTAGGATGTTGTTGAGGAAAGGCTTTCCTTGTTGATAGAGACACACAGAAATAATCCTTCCTTACTCCCAGAATGTGTTGACTCTATATAAAGTTTAGAACTGCAGCAACCAACTTGCCATCATGAGGGGAGCTGAGCCAACTCACTGAGTGGCAGAATAAAATATGACAGTGA